TGTTCTCAATCACTGCAGATTTTTGGACACTATATCATTGCCATAATCGCTGTAAACAGTTCAAATTTTACAAGAAGGAACATAGATAAAAAAAAACAACGTAAATGAAACAATTCAGTATATATAAAAGTATTTGGCATTTGTAGTTGAAAATATATTCAATGTCATCATAGAGCATTCATTTGTGTTCCATAATGTTTTATTCCAAGCTTTGAACCATAGCAGTCAATTCAATCATTGTTTTTAGCGCATTTTCTCATTTTTGGAAAAAATGCACTATTGTGCTCGCGCTATGTCCGTCTGTCTGTCTGTCCGTCTGTCCGTGACCTAAAGTTTTCGTCGACGAGAAAATGCTCTCTTTGTCACTCACTGCAGTGAGTACAGAGTTGAGTTATATTTTTTGTTTACCAATCTACGGACATTTGATGCCTATTTTAATAATCATAATTAATTACTGACATAATTCATAAGAAGACAAGTCAGTATTCAGACCACAGTCAGGCTTGCAACTCATCAATATTTCGTATCATTGCAACTTTCCGATTCCCACATCATTATGTGTAAATAGGAATCATTTGTAAGATTTTACCCTTGCATAAGGTTGACAAATTCAATCCTAGTACTGCGTTTCACCTACTATCCACTTCGCTTCGACAATATTTTTCTCTAAGAAACACTTTATCGCTCACATTGAAAATTGGAGACATACCTTAGCAGCGGACATGTAATTTTCCAGTAGGAGCTTAAAGTTCAAATTAAGCAATTGTTCATCTCTTCGAAATACGACTTATTGAACCAATCGGTTTTCTTGGGGCTGTTAGTAGCCCGAGTCATTTTTCTAATTCACAGATCAGAATAAATGACACCGTTAATAAAATTTATCCTTTAATAGGCAGCTTAACATTACTAAAGCTCTGTCCTACTGTGGAATATCGTTAAATCAGTCTCATATATTTATGGACTTTAAACGTCAATGACAACCAAGTCAACAGCAACAGAACGCGTGAAGAAAAACAGTATTCTACTGACAAATTTACTTGAAATTTACTGTAAATGTGGAATAGCCGCTTTATTAAGGCCGATGATTATAAGAATGAATTTTAATGATTAGTTCAGACATTGGACAAAATTAATTTAGAATTTATTTAAGTGCTGAAACAGAAATTCTAGCCGAGCATGATACAGTGGCGTTTATCCTTGAAATGATAACTCCTGTAGAAGCCGTAGAAATTGGATCGATCCCATCCTACCACACTGTTTTTATCCATTCCATTATAGAAATTGTATCTACCCCATCCTACCACACTGTTTTTATCCAATACAGTGTCCATTAGGGCTAATAGGTCATTTAATTAAAGATAAACGAGGTTCATTAATAGAATAATTTTTTTAGGGTCTCTAAACTCACATGTAACGCTGTTGGGGAAACCGTATCCACAATAGCGGTCTACGGAAAGACCTGTGTCATCCACACCGCCTGGGATGACAACATAGTCAGTGGTGCAGTTGATGCCCGTAGTTGAGGAAGAGGGAGTACCTGTTATAGCAACAAATACTCAATACAACAAATAAGAACTCAACAAATACTCATATAAGAACTCAATATTAAATTGATTATTAAACTTCAAATAATTTCCTTGAGAAAAAGATCAGCGAAAATCATTCACTAAACGGCATGTGAAATTGTAAAGTTTCTTCGTGTTTGAAATTTTCTGAGAAAATCGAGCTATCTTGCACAATTATTTTTTAGGTGGTTCAAACTGAATGAATTGCATTGGTAGGAAATCGTAATGAACCCTAACTATGACAGGAATATATTGAAATAAATAACAAGCTCCATCACAATCGAGGCATGATCATAATCTATGGGTAAAATTTGTTTAGTCTTGGATGTCAAACTTTAACCCTCTGTCTGTTACCCTGTCACTGATAGCAAATTATACTTCCTCAGAGATGAAGGTAGGCATCCTAATGTAAAAATATTATGCAGTAAATCGGCATGAAGTGATAATGGCAGCAACTTCATTAACGGAAAATCAATTTAATTTGGTTTATAATCCGAAATATTGTAAATTTTAAATTACTAACCTTTCGAGTGACGCAGGATTTAATCTGCCTATATATTTGATCGATAGACATAAATGAAAACTGCAGAAGTTCTCTGATTACGACAACGAAACACAATGTCCAATCATGCAATAATAAATTGATTCTCAAAATTAAGTTCTTTTTACGATTTTTTACGTAATTGGTTGGGAGCCTAAAACACATGTGCTACATCTGGCACGGAGGGACATACATATTTTTATTCGGACGAAAGTGACGTCACTTTGACGCCAGAATTACTTGCGTTTCCATATCGTCCATACATATATTTTTTTATAAAGTCTTTTTTCCATCCTCACTTAAATAATGGCGTCGATCTGGTGCATCGAAACTTACTCTTCAAAACAATATTCTTGTCGAGCTACTTCTAGAAAGTTTGATTACGTTGCGCACGAACAACGAAACACTGAAAACTTTTCTGCGTGCCTATATTCATGCTTGAAATGTGCAATCTCTAATAACCGGTCGTCTGTGAGAAAATGGAATCTAACATATATTTATCTTAACATATTTGTAATAAGTTCGCCTTTAAGTATAATTATAATTTTGATAATTAATAGAAAATAATGATATTCATGATAAGTTCACCTATTAGCGCTGGATCGACACCGTCGACAGCATGCGACACCGTGAAGCCGTAGTCGCCGCCGGTCAGGTTGCGGCTCCACATGATGCTGCAGTAGCCCTCAGCCATCTGCACGCACACGCTGTAGTCCATGCCTGACACCTGTCGCGTGGCTGGTATAACAGGGATGTTTTTATTGCAAGCGCATCGATATTGCAAGATTTATTATTCTATATTATTGCATTCAAGAGGCAATTTAATCGTTATTAATACTTAATTTATAATAGAGCTGTAAAATGACAATCAAAATGCTAAGTTTAAGTAGAGCAATATTCTACTTACGATGCTGGCCAGAATTTTTTCCGCAAATTTGTGGGATGGTCGTTGTTCCTCCAGTCACTTGCAGGAAATCGTCTTCACAAACTCCATCTCCATTGGGCTGGGCTAGCGAGAAATCTTTCAAATCCAGGCGAATCTGGCAGATATTCTTGTTGGCGGGGTAAACTTTGAGTTTGCAAGAAGTTGGAACTGTGGCTGTGACTGATGGATATTCTGGGTTTTGGAACAGCGTTCCGTCGATGTTCGTTGACGAGTCACAATTGCGCGTAACTGTAAAGTCACATTACGAAGAATACATTTAAATTCCGTTCAGTTATTACTTTGCTTTGAATTTCTCCATACACGAGAAATGATGTCTTTATATTATTACAATTCATCTTTATCGTTGTTACTGCTACGATCGGCTTATCTCTCGTAGTTTTTAATCGTGAAACTCGGCTCCTACATTCCCCTTATACTTTTAACAATTTCCATCATAAGAACGTACATGGCTAAATAGATCATTATATTGTATTGTTACTGCCTCCCACATGTATTCATCTTTGAAACCCAAAGAGATAAAGACAAAATTTGTCACTAATTCCAGAAACTACTATCGACTTGTCCAAGTATTTTAATTTCACAATACTTAAAATGTTAGATTGGTCATTTCAGGTATGACTAAAACTAATAAGAGCCCTTGCAATACTTCAAAGTCGTGTGCACTAACATGAGCAACAAACTCCAAGTCCTGCCGCACAAGTGCCGCTTGCGGTGCCCTGCAAATTCGAGCAGTCTTTGGCCGAGTAACAAATTCCTTGCGTGTTGGTTGTCGTAGTGCAGCTGTCGGGGGCAATCGTGATGAACCGAAAAAGCACTGGAAGGAAATCAGAAAAATATCATTATGAAATTCCTATGCGATTTTTATTTTAATTTTTAGGGGAATCAGAGCGCACTTTGTACAGAATTAAAATTAACATTTATATAACGATTTTATGTCAAAAAATTGCCACGATATAACGAGAATTGGATCCAGGTGGCAATTTTATTATTTGTAGGAATAATAACTGTATTAAGGAGAATTGTCATTTATTTATTACAATCATTTTATTTTAAGATTATTATTAAATGATTTTTGATCTGGAAGAGTTACTGTTGCTGGACTAAATCAAGCACCGAAGTTCAAACGAACGGTTCTATATAAGGCCATGGACGAATGGACCAGTTTCGTGCGATGGCTTCTGGAACGTAGAAGTTATTCGTAATGATATCGTTTATGCAGTTTCCTTTCGAATTTATGTGTTTTAAATATAACAGGCGAAAAAATATTCTCTATTTTGTTTTTCTCTTTGTTTTAGCATATGAACATATGCTAAACATATGAACATTACAGGAGGTAATTTCTGTACCATGTATGTGTTATGTAGACGTGTAATATTTTTGTTGCTCAGAGACTCAGATTTGTTGTATAAATGTAGGAAAATATTTTTTCCGTCATGGATATTTTGCTCAAGTCTATAATTTTGCTTTGAGGTGATTAACATGTCATGCATCTGGCTGAAACGCTGAAACGCGCATATTTTAGATGACTGAAATCAGTATATAATAGCCTTACAGGAAATGTTTTGAGCGAGAACACTAAAGGTAGTGAATACGAATGCTAGGCTATTGCTGAGGTAGGGATTCTTTGAGAATATGATTAAAACTATAATCGATTGCATTCAATTTTATTACAAAGATTGGTTCTTCATACGATTTAGTCACAGTTGAGCATTCCACATGTCAATACTCACGTCGAGGATCCCGGTCGTCCACATCATCAATTTCCTGCGTCTGTTCCAGGCCTTCGATCTTCGCCGGCGTCGCTCGCCCGACCACAGCCAGCAGCGCCCAGCAGGCGACAACACACGAGTAATACTTCATAGTAAAGAATGTCACCTGTACACGAGGGCAATATACTTTATAAGTTTTAAAGTTGCTGTGGAAAATTATAAATGCGTTTTCTAAATTTATTAAGATTTGCTTTCATCTTACAATTGTAATATCAAGAACATAAGTGTACGCAGGTCATGTGCTGTGATTCTTCAACTTTCCAGGGCCTTTACTTGCAAAAAAATTAAAGAGATCGTAAGTTCATCAGCCAATCATTGACGGCCTTTCAAGCAAAATCCACCAATCATAGACAAGAAAATAGAGCGTAAGTACTAATGTTCACTTAGCGAGTTTTGAAAGTATGGCCTAAGGCTTCGTATTATATGCTGAGAATTAGAAGGAATAAATGAATGACGAGCCGAAATCAATTATTGAAATTAATCTTTTTACTTGTTTTGTCCTACGAGTAATTTAGGAAATGAATTAGGTATTCTGATTATCAAACATCAAATTTAACACAAAGATCTGTTCTGATTCATTGAAAAACCCGAATTCTAGACGGGCTTTCTTGGTGAAACTTTTAACGTGTATCCATATAATTATATAATATATGTATTTCTTCGAAATTCATATGATTTTAACAAATATATAAGAATATCGATGGCTATTAACATGACTGTAGCATTTAACTGTTAGATATTACGCTACATTGACAGAGATGCTGAGTGAGGACTTGCCTCACCTTTCGAGACCAATATTCGCCTGCTGTCCAAACAGCGCGCGTGCGTAAAGTAAACTGACGCCGACCCTTGTCACCCCAGCAGTTTTATATTCTTCACTTCCCAGGGGCGGGTAGAACGGGAAAGATTCTCAATTGTTTTGAGCCCTTGAAAACGTCTCTAATTTTTTGTCCCTATAACAAATTTAATTCGTATGCAGACATAGTTGTTCATTTTTAATTGTTTTCTCTCCCGTGGAAACCTAAGACATTTTAAGTGAAAGAATTTGCCAAGATAAATTGTGAGCTTCTGCTGTGTCATTAACTAATGTATACTTGGGTCAATTGTGCGTTCAGTAATGAATTTAGTATTAGGGGAATTCGCATAACGCTGCAAAAATACATTCTCGGTAATTCCAGAATGTTTCATCAGCTATCAAATTAGCTTTGAATTAGAAAAAGAAAAAAACATATACATGCTGGTCTTTTCCAATCTATAATACTTCAAAAGACAAAATTTGGTTCTGGAAAGGCCGAAACGCCCACGCTGAACGCTATTTATTTTGTATAATTATGTGTTCATATATTTTGAAATTAGCCTACCTGACTATAACCGAAGAGAAAGAAATGATTACCTCCATCTCACCAGTACGTTCTAAATATTATCAGTCAATTATTCATAACACAAGTACCTACGTTATTCATAACAATAGTACGTCATTCTTGACGTCAGTATTTTATTCATAACACAACCCGATTCGTTATTCCTCCCGGAAAATCGAATGAAGTTCGCTGATTCGTACATTCGAAATCGATCGTTTATGTCGTCCATTATGCGCACCTGTAGACCGTTATAAGTGCCTTGTTATCATTCATTGAAAATTGAAATAGAAAGTTTTTAATCCTGTTTTGGAAAGCTCGCCCTGCAGTCGAAAGAAAGAATTCCTAACTAGAAAGTCGAAAGGACTTTTGCATAGAGTTCCATTGATCGCAACATGCCCACCCGTGTACAAGTGAGTGCATCATCTAACAGACGAAGCCCAGGAATTGATGAATGATGGTGATGAGAGAAATTGATGGTGACCGTCATGATTAATGATCTACGAGTACTTTCGCTTATGCCCCTCCATGGCTTTCTTTTCGACCGATTCGATCTTGGTCAGAAGAATAATACCAACTCGTTGGATTAGTCATTGTAAACACATCGAGATTTTAAGTAGATTTTGTTTTCGAATGGATTTGCATGAACTACAGAATTTTAATCATTGAAAAAATGGATGTTGTGTCTAATAATTTCTTATTATCTTATGTAGATCTGATACAAAATCAACATTTGCCGGCATGATTTTTTTTATTCGATGGCTCAAATTTTCGGACGAGAGTTTGTGTCAGAGGATCCTTCATCCTGCCGTATCATATATATACACAATGTGGGAGATCCGGGTGACAATAATGACATTGGTATAGGATGACGAAGAATAAGTTAAATGATTCAGAATCTTTTGTCAACAATCATGGCAATTAGTTTTACGTTTTCTCACGATCTTACTCTATTTCTAAATTAGTAATTTTCTTTAAAATGTGAATAATAGTAATTCCCAATATAATAATTAATAATAATCATTCGCAATCATTCATCCATTATTAATTGTTCCTCATTTCAGCTTCACACACAAAAAAAGTGCGTATGCACCTAACGTTGGTTCAATATTCAAGCCAGAATCATGAGTATACTCTTAGCTTAGATTCCAACAAGGATTGCAGAAAAACTGTTCCACGTGTAAACTATTTAATTATTTCGTGTAAGCAAATTGTGTTGATTAAAAATAATGGAATTATCTGCGGCGGTATTGATCTAGAAATAACCCCATTACCTCACTCACAAGGAAACATAATTTTTTAATAAGTATACAAAGTATACACATTAAGTATACAAGGAGTTATTTTTGAGGATTATTTTCTATTTATGACACTGAATAAACGTTGGTCCTGGTGGTTATAAATAACGGTATTTATCCGTTTGCACGGCATGAAAACATAATTTTTCTACAATTCAAAAAGTCTACAAAAAAGGGGGTGAGTGAGCGGGGGTGAGCGGAGGATTTTTCATTATGTATTACACGAAATTTTAGTTGTACACTCCTTAATAACAGGTGCTTATGTATGCAAATCGTAAGTGCCGGTATTTATTTCGTTTGCACGGCATGAAAAACATAATTCTTTAAAAATGAAAAAGTATACAAAAACGGGAGAAGTCTTTGGTGG